CTGAGGACCTGGGCCCTGTTATACAGGGGATCCCTAGAGCTGCTGTCTCAGGGGCCCCCAGCCACTAACAAGCCCCCCAGGGCTCAGGCTGGAGAGACCCTATGGGTTTCTTTCCCTCCTGGAAACTGGAGACCCCAGGGTCCACTTCTCTGGCCCCCAGGCTCTCGTGGCAAAAAATGGGAAAGGACTAATGATGATTTCCTGTTGTGAATGGCTGTCACGAATGCTCTCTCCACCCCATCAGTGCTCCCCAGGGCCTGTCCGTGCCCACCCTGCAGGGCAAAGCTGCTACCCAAGGAAAATGCCCTAAAGGGGGGAAGGAAGAAGTGGATCCCTTGACGTTGTTATACAAATGTTCCCCAGGCTCAACTTCTTAGAGTGAACACAGCCCCTCGATCCCTCTCCCTGTTCTCTTCAGAATTAGTCGCCAAATCTTCTCTACTCTTCCTCCCCAAGTTCCCATCCCCTCAGCCCCACCCGAACTCAGGCTACAACATTCCCACCTCTTGTCAAAGTTTGCAGCATCACCTTCCTCAAGTCTGTCCTCTGCACCGGCCACCAGAACAGGAGTCCTGGCTGTGTTCCCTCTCTACTCAGGGACCTTCCAGCGCTCCCCATTGCGCTCAGAGTGAAGTGTAAAATTCCCCATCTTCACATTTAAGACCCTTGTGATCTGACCCCTGGTACCGTCTACAGTTCCAAATCCATCCATTGCTCCATGCAAACTGTCACACGTCCGTTTAGTAAATTGACAATAAGAAAGTGAGGCACAGACCCAGCCATTCCAAACTGCTGCCCCTTCCTCTGAGACGTCCATGCTGTAGCACACCACTGTGCCCCTCCCTATGCCATTTCTTTTCCCCTCCTCTTATCCTCCTGGCACACTCCTAGCCCTGCTGAAAGACACATCTCAACCAGAAAAAAGATGCACATACATCTTTATCCGTTCATCCATTGACTGGCATTAGGTTGTTTCCATATTTTGACTCATGTGAATAGTGCTGCAATGAGCACAGGAGTTCTGGCTGAGAAATTTCACTTCAGGAATTAAATTTCATGACTGAACATGAGTGGCATAATTTATTTTTTTTGGTTTAACATTTATAATTGAATTTCATTTTTTTTTATTTCTTAAAGTATTACAAAGAGTATTACACATGTCTCCTTTTTCCCCCCCGTTGACATTCCCCCAGCTTCCCCCACCCCCAGTGTCTTGTGTCCATTAGGTATTCTCATATGCATGCAAATAAGTCCTTCGGTTGATCTCCTACCCCCCCCCCAACCCTCCCCAGGGTTCCCACTGTAGTTTGACAGTCTGCTCAATGCTGCTCTGCCTCTGTATCCATTTTTGTTCATCAGTCTATAATGGTCCTTATTATCCATAAATGAGTGAGTTCATGTGGTATTTTTCTCAGCTTCCCAGGGGCCATCTCAGTCTCACAGGGGCCATCTCAGCCTCACAGGGGCCGTTTCAGCCTCACTGGGTCCGATTCAACCTCACCATGGCCATCTTGACCTCACCGGGGCCATCTCGACCTCACCAGGGCCGTCTCGACCTCACCAGGGCCGTCTCGACCTCCGGGGCTGATTCAACCTCACAGGGGCCGACTCAACCTCACAGGGGCTGTTTCAGCCTCACTGGGGCCGTTGAAAGCCCACTAGGGCCGTCTCAACCTCACCGGGGCTGTCTCAACCTCACCAGTGCTGTCTCAACCTCACAGGGGCCATCTTGACCTCACAGGGGCTCTTTCAACCTCACCGGGGCCGTCTCAGCCTCACCAGAGCCATCTCAGCCTCACCAGGGCCGTCTCAGCCTCACATGGGCCGTCTCGACCTCACATGAGCCGTTTCAACCTCACCGGGGCTGTTTCAACCTCACCAGGGCCGTTTCAGCCTCACATGGGCCGTTTCAACCTCACTGGGGCCATTTTGACCTCACCGGGGCTGTCTCAACCTCACCGGTGCCGTCTTGACTTCACCGGGGCCGATTCAACCTCACCAGGGCCGTCTCAACCTCACAGGGGCCATCTCGACCTCACAGGGGCTCTTTCGACCTCACCGGGGCCGTCTCAACCCCACCGGGGCCGTCCCACCCCCACCAGGGATGTCCCAGCCTCACCAGGGCCGCCTCAGCCTCACCGGGGCCATCCCAGCCTCTCGGAGGCTGTCCCAGCCCCACGGGGGCTGCCTCGGCCCTACGGGGGCTGCCTTGGCCTCACGGGGGCCATCTCAGCAACACGAAGTTTGGCATTCTGTCCTTTGTTGGGCAGCTCCTTGCTGGACAAAATCTCCAGGAGTTCCTGGTGGCTGAATATCTGGTATGCTTGCTTGGATTTCATTTTCTACCAAGTGCACAGACTGCCTGTCTGCCATCTCCCAGCATCCCATGTGAGACTGGATCTGGTGGACCTGCCTGTGCGTTTTCTGGTACAGCGGTTCCATGTCGCCTGCCAGCCGTGTCCAGCTCCAGCTTCCCCCGAACCTGATCCTGCTTCTTGAGTGTGTCCCTTATGTATGCGAGGAGTTGAAATCTGCATTCTGCTGGGCTGGGCTGCAAAAGTGACGGTGGTTCTCTTTGTGCCACTAGCACAGCTTGGGTGGGGATGTAAATTGAGTGGGGCAGGGTCCCCGGGAATCACCAGGGTGGAGCAAGGGGCAATGGCATCTCCGCCACTCCTTGCCTCTCTGCGACTCCACTTCTCATGTCCCCAAGTGCCGGCGAGCAGCTCTGCGAGACAGCCACTCTCGCTCTCCGGGCCTGTTGCAAGGTCGTCCCGCCTCTCCCCGTAGGGGTCTGGGACCGCAGGATCCCGCCCCAAACACGCTCAGTGGATTTGAGAGTCTGCATCCCCTTCTGATTGAAAAAAAACCGCGCATCCAGTTGCAGCCAGCCTGGCGCGCTACTCCGCCCCTCTGTTCTTGGCAAATCACCAGGGCAGGGCCAAGGGCAATGGCATCTCCGGGTCTCCTCGCCTCTCCACGACTCAGCGACTCACGTCCCCGAGTGCCGGCATGCCGGCGAGCAGCTCTGTGAGACAGCCACTCTCACTCTCCGGCCCCGTTGCAAGGCCATTCCGCCTCTACCTGTAGGGGTCTGGGACCTCAGGATCCCACCGAAAACGCGCTCAGTGGATTTGAGAGTCTGCATCCCCTTCTGATTGAAAAAAAACCGCGCATCCAGTTGCAGCCCGCCTGGTGCACGACTCCATACCTCCGTTCTTGGAGCCTCTGCACAACCTACTCAGTCTCAATGCTCTTCTTTCTTTCCTTCCAGTTGTAGAGCTTCCACTGGGCCAGCTTTCCCATGGTTCTGAATGACAACTGTTTGTTTTATAGTTGGTAGTCTCGATGTTGTTGTGGGAGGCAGCACGCACAGGTCTGTACCTTACGCTGCCATCTTGGTTCTCCCAAGTGTCATAATTTAGCAAACTCCTGCCCTATACCAACAACCCCTGTCATATTTGGGGTCCTCCCAGAAATGACCCTGAGACAAAGATTTGAGTAGAAGTAAGTTTACTTTGGAGGTGACCCTAGAAAATACGAGCAAGGAAGTGGAGTAATGAGAAAAGACAGGAAAAGAAGCTAATAGGGCATATGCTAGCAGGCAACTTACCCCTGTGGCAGCTGGGATGCATTCACTCTGCAAACCTCTGGGAAACAGCATGGAGTATTTATTAGTTGCTTCCACAAAATTCCAGCTTTTCTAAACCTGATTGCCCCTATATTTACCCCATCCCCAGTTCAAGAGCACAGGCTGATTGCTTTAAAAAATCAGCACATCCCCTATCCCATTACCATAATCTGGGTAGAGCAGCAGTGCTGAAAAGCAATCCCCCCAGCCACCATCACCAGGGGACAACTGGCAATGCCTGGAGACTTCTTTGGTTGTCACAATGGCAAGGGGGCATCTAGTGGGTCGGGGCCAGGGATCCCACAATGCACAGGAGACCCCCTTTGGTAAAGAAGGACCTGGCCACAAATGTCAATAATGCCAACATTGAGAAACCATCAGTAAGAGGACGGGCACATGACCCAATTGGAATCCACACAAATCAACTCCAAGTCGAGAAGCTTCTCAGGTCCCTGGAAAGTGCCATATGGTTAATGATCTTTGCACTCATTTTGCTAACACAGAAGGAGCACTATAGCTGTGACGGTGGGAAGAGAAATTAGATGTGGAGCCTGAGGATGACACGGATGCCCAGAGAACAATCTGTAGAGATGAGGAGAAATTCAGCCTTCTTTTCTGTCACTGCACCAAATCTCCCTGAAGCTGGTCCTTATTAGTTACATGAGCTAATAATTGTGTTTGTTTGTTTAAACCAGCTGGGTTAATTTTTGTGTCACATGCAACCACAAGCACTCCAAGTGACAGGGGAATCAATGAACATTAACCCATCCCCTTTTCCTGGAAGATGCCCCTATATGAACACAACCTTGTCTTGGAGTACAATTGGTTGCAAGATATAGAAACCCATCCAAGCTGGTATATGTAAAGGAGTATTTATTACAGAGCTGCAACATTGTCTCCATACACCAAGGAAACATGAAGTAGAGGTGACTTTCATGCAAAACTAGCATCAATGAAAAAATAACTGTGGTGTCAATGGAATGAATACTCAATTTACTGAAATTGATACTTCTGAAACTAAGATACTCACGCCTTCCAACTCTAGAACCATTGGAGCACTTTTTTCTGATTCTCCCTGCATACTAGCTCCATTCTTCTGCTGTTTGCAGAAGTACCTACCACTCCAAACTGGCCACCCATAGTTCTTAATCTGCTGGTGACCTTAAAAGCTCCACCAACTGACAGCTTTCTTAGCATTTCCATTAAACAATGTTTCCAAGCAAATCTGATTGAATCAAAAAAAGAAGAAACACAAGCGGGTAGGCAAGCTAAATGGGTTTAACCTAAGATGGGAGCTCGTTAGCCTTGGAGAGACAGAAGATCCACCACTATCACTCCCCCACCTTATCTAGGCACAGATCAATGACACTGAGTGTTAACTATTCCTTTATTAGGTGGTGAGGGGAGTGGGGGCTGTACAATGAAAGGCCTGGGAACTTAGCTACACAGAAATTGTGATCAGAAGCCATATTACAAAAATTGCCTAAAAATACTTATATTCTGCCATGGCACTGGGCCAGGGGAGTACCAGGAGAGGTGCCACTCAGGTAGCTCCTTCCCATCTTGCAGTCCCATATGTACAGGGACACAAAGTGAAATGCACATATCTCCCCTAATCCTCATGTTCCCACCACCCACCCCCAAGTTCCCAAAGGAAGGTGGCCCAGGCTCAAGGGTGGGGAGACAATCTGGGGGTGGGCTCTCTAAGATAGAAGAGCCCTTTCCCCAGCAAAGCTATAGAACAAGTTCCATCTGGAATGCAGTGAAGTGAGGGACATGGGGTGGGGAGGAAGCTCCCACATCTTGCCAACCCCTGGCCCCAGAGGGTGCGCCCAAGGGTGACTACTTGGTACACACCAGGGTCATGTACTCGGTACACAGGATCCCAGTCATGCCTGTGTACTCGGTACACAGAATCCAGCTTGGCCAAATGGGCCCACAGACTCAGCCCCATGGGGGCACTGGGGGGTTTGCAGGGGGGCAGGGAGCATCTCCATATATATATTTTGTAAAAAATAATAATAATAATAATAAGTTTGTTTAAATGAATTTTGTTTCTATACAAAATGTAAAAAAAAATAATAATCCACTCATGTCAGAGTGTGAGGAGTGAAAGAGGCCAGAGGAGGCAAGAAAGGAAGGAAGGGTGAGTTGGAGAGTAGGACAGGGGAGGACAGGAGGCGGTCCCAGACTCATCACAAGACCCATGGGTGGGGGTCAGCCTGAACCCCTTACAAATAAGGGAAGATTGAAGCCCTAGGCTGGTAAGCTATGTCAGTCACACTGAAGGGGTAGGGGGTGCAGGGGGATTGGAAAAGAGAAAAGAGAATGGAAAGGATTAAAGGAAAATGGGGGAGAACAGAATCAGGATAGGGTGTCTCTTCAGTTGCCCAAACCCCAAGAACTGAGGAGCATCTCAAGCCAACACCTGCCTCTTGGGAGTGACTTCAGGCTGGGGCCCCAGCTGGGTCTGAGCCTGAACGAGGGGGCCAGGGACAGACAGGGAGAGTGGCTGGGCAGGAAGTGTCCCTGCCGCTGTGGCTGTGGCCCTACTGGCAGTGGCTGGGCTGGGTGTGGAATCAGACCAGTCTGACAGTGAGGGAGGCGAGGGGCTGGCCCAATGCTCAGGGGACTCAGGGGATGGGGTCAGGTAGGGATGCTCACTCGGGACCCGGAGGAAGCGAGCCTTGGGGGGGCTGCCATGGGCCCCAGGTACTGGATACTCCTCACCATGTCCCGGAACAGCCAGATATGGTGGGGGCCGCTCCTGAGGAGACATGGGGGTCCCAGGGTTCAGCAGCTGGGGTCCCGGTGCCAGTGGCAGCAGGAACGAGGGACCTGGTGGGGCAGGTGGGGGCAGCCGGGCCCAGTCGAGGGGAACGGCTACAGGTTTCAGCAAGCCCAGGCTGAGTACACAGCCCCCGGGGGGCTGGCGCCCTAGACCTGCCCTGCCCACACCACCAAGTTGTGCCAGGGACACAGCCGTGGTGGTGGCACTCATGTAGGGCCCCTCGAGGGGGAAACCTCCAGGGGATGCAGGGGGCCCACCAAAGGGCCGTGGGGAGTCCAGAGAGTCTACAGGCGACAGTGTGACTGAGCTCTCAGCCAGAGGACCCGGGCAGGCCAGCGTCAGCTTCTTGCCCCGGCCCCGGGTGCCCTGTGGTCCCAGCCCTGCTTTCCCTGGTGGCCTTCGGCTCTTCTTGCCCCCTGACTGTGCCGCCTTGAGGCCAGGGAGGAAGGCCCCGGGCGGGCAGAGCAGGGGCCCCAGGCCATGGGAGCCCGGGGGACTGCGCGGCCCACTGGGCTGGTCTAGCAAGCGCACGATGTCCTGGTGCAGCCTCTCCTGGGCCACGTCCCGGGGCAGCCTGTCCAGATGGTCAGTGATCTCCCGGTTGGCAAAGTGATCCAGCAGCAGCTTGGCAGCCTCATAGCTGCCCTCCCGGGCAGCCAGGAACAGTGGTGTCTCCTCCTGGGGGGAGCCGAGAACCAGCCAGGTGTCAGGGTCACAAGGGCCAGCAACACCAGGGCCTCCGTCCTCTGATGGAACCTGAGAGCTAAGGTCCCAGCCTGACCGACCTGGGTTCGACTCCTCGCTCTGATGGGGAAGCCGAGGCAAGTTCTTTTATTTAAACCACAGTCATGGTGCACCTCCTAAGTGCCAGGCCCCAGTGCCAGGAACAGGGTGAGAAGAGTAAGGCACTCGCCTTAGACACAAATTTCAAAGGGGCACCAAAACTCTCAGTCATAAAAATTAATATTTTAATGCAATTTTTTAAAAAAAAATGTAATTTAAATTAATGCCAAAAATTCCATTAAAAAATATGGAAATTTTAAATAAGAACAGAATCCATCCTGCACCCCTCTGAGCCTCACTCTGCTTATCTGAGTAGAGTAACACCACCTTGCAAGGCTTTTTAAACAATGATCAAAAAGTTACCTTCTATTGAGGGAACACATTACCTCACTGAATCCTTGGAAGAGGCAATGAGTTAGGTACTGTGGCTTCTCCATTTCACAGACGAGAACACAGGTCCAGAGGAGTTAAGCAACTTTCCCAAGGTCAATAGTAACTGCCACACACTTCCTCTTCTGATCTACTGTTGGAGCCTCTTGGGCCCAATTCCCACCCCTAAAAGCTGGCTGCAGGCTGGGTGAATGCTCCCACTTGTCTACTCCCCCCCACTCTCTGCTACCTGGTAGGGGGAGGTCTGTGCTAGGGATGACTCCCTGGTGAGCCAAGGGCTGGGGCTCACCTTGCTATCTTGCATGTCCTTGTTGGCTCCATTTTTGAGCAGGGCCAAGGTGGCCTCCACGTTGTTGACAGCTGCAGCCCAGTGTAAGGCTGATTTCCCTGGGGGGAGTGCAGAGAGGTCAAGGTCAGAATCAGGCTCATGTCCTGACCCTCCAAGGCAGAGAAGCAGGAAATGCCCAGAATACGGCCTGGTGAGAAGGAGCGGACCTGCCATGAGGATCTGAGCACCTGTGTTTGGGTCTGTGTATGTGCAGATCCATAGAATGACTCTCTGTCCAAGGGAGACACTGTACAGGTGTCTTCCATGGCCTGGGGCTCCTGTACATGTGAATTTCCATTTACAGAGGGAACTATGCAGCCCTCACTTGTTTATTCCTAGAGGTGTGCTATCTGATGCAGTTGCCACCAGTCCCATGTGCCTCTTTAGATTTAAATTAACTAAAATTAACTAAAATAGGTGTCAAAACCATTCAATGGGGAAAGAATAGCTTTCTCAACAAATGGTGCTGGGACAGCTAGATCTCCACATGCAAAAGAATTAAGGTGGACCCCCTACCTCACACCATATAAAAAAAATCACTCCAAGACCTAAATGTAAAAGCTGAAACTATAAAATATTTAGAAGAAAATATAGGAGTAAATATTTATGATCTTGAATTAGACAAAGATTCTTAGATATGACACCAAAAACAGAAGCAGTAATACAACAAAAATACATAAACTAGACATTATCAAAATTAAAATGTTTGTGCTTTGAAGGACAACATAAAGAAAGTGAAGCCCTCACTCAGTTGTTTAGAGCGCCATCCTGATATGCCAAGGTTGCAGGTTCTATTCCCAGTCAGGATACATACAAGAATCAACCAATGAATGCATAAGTAAGTGAAACAACAAATCAATGTTTCTCTCTCTCTCTCTCTCTCTCTCTCTCTCTCTCTCTCTCCCCCCCCCCTCTACAAATTGAAAGAAATATTTATAAATCATATATCTGGTAAGAAACATACTTAGAGTACATAACCTTTGTAACTCAATAATAGAAAGACAGCTCTGCAGGCTCGACTCAGCAGTTGAGCATTGACCTATGAACCAAGAGGTCACGGTTCCATTCCCAGACAGGGCAATCCCCATGTGGGGTGTGCAGGAGGCAGTCTATCAATGATTCGCTCTTATCATTGATGTTTGTATCTCTCTCTCCCTCTCCCCTCCTCTCTGAAATCAATAAAAATAGATATTAAAAATACAGAAAGACAAATAACCCAATTAAAAATAGGCAAAACATCTGAATGGACATGTTGCAAAAGAAAACACATACAAATGGCCAATAAGCATATAAAAAGATGCTCAAAATCATTAGCCATCCGGAAAATGAAAATCAGAAACCACAATGAGATACCAATTCACACCCACTATAAACAAAAAAACAGATAATAAAAGGTGTTGGCAAGGATGTGGAGATATTGGAACCTTCATACACTGTTGGTGGGAGTGAAAAATGGGGCAGCCACTGTGGAAAACACTCCGTCATCCCAGAAAGTTCTATTGGGTAGTGCTCCTCTAAAGCCATATTTCTCAACCAGGGGTGATTTTCCCCCAGTGGCATTTGGCAATGTTGGGAGATATTTTTGGTTCCACAACTGGGAGGTGGGCTACTAGCATCTAATAGTTCAAGGCCAGGGATGCTGCTTAACACCCTGCAATGCAAGGATGGCCCCAACCACCAAAGATGCTCCAATCCCAAATGTCATTGGTAGGTTAAGAACACCTGCTTCAGCCCTAACCGGTTTGGCTCAGTGGATAGAGCGTTGGCCTGTGGACTGAAAGGTCCCAGGTTCTATTCCGGTCAAGGGCATGTACCTTGGTTGCAGGCACATCCCCAGTAGGAGGTGTGCAGGAGGCAGCTGATCACTGCTTCTCTCTCATCGATGTTTCTCTCTATCCCTGTCCCTTCCTCTCTGTAAAAAATCAATAAAATATATATTTTTTAAAAAGAACACCTGCTCCAAAAGTTGAGAACACCTACTCCAAAGAATGTTTGTGAGCATCTGAGTGTGTCTACGTCTGTGTGAGGTCCTCTGGACATAAGGGCAGGTTGCGGGCATATCCCCAGTGGGGGGTGTGCATGAGGCAAGAAGCCACCTCCAGGGACTCTGCTAGCAAGCCACCGGGGAAGGAGAGGCCACCTCATATAAATGGGTCGGTTAGCAAATGTATTGTAACAGCTGCCTGGCAGATGGCAGCAGTGATTACCTCTAACCAAGTAGGTGGAAATGAAGTGTCTTGGGAAAGGGCACCTTTTTCTAAGTCACTCATGTGTCAATGAGCTCGTGGATGCCATAAAAAAATGCACAAGAGCCCTTAACCGGTTTGGCTCAGCGGATAGAGTGTCGGCCTGCGGACTGAAGGGTCCCAGGTTTGATTCCGGTCAGGGGCATATCCCCAGTGAGGGGTGTGCATGGGGCAGCTGATCGATGTTTCTAACTCTCCCTCTCCCTTCCTCTCTATAAAAAATCAATAAAATATATTTTTAAAAAAGAAAGCAGATACTCTAAGTTTTAAAAAGAGAATGATGCACTTAATACACCTCTGCAAAACCATGTTTTTAAAAAAAATGCACAAGAGTGTAAGTCCATGTTGCAGCCCTGTTATGTGTACAGGAACTTCAGTGATTGGGTGGCAGTGTTCACAGTGGGTGAGGGTTCACACAAACAAGACAGTCAGGGTCCATGTGACATCCTCTCAGCCCCCACCGCCCACCAGCCTACCAAGTTCGTCCACAGCATTGACATCAGCGTGGCTGGCAATGAGCTCTTCCACCATGCCCTCCACCGCCAGGCGGGCCGCCAGGATCAATGCGGTCGACCCATCTGCCATGCGGGCATCCAGGTCTGTGGAGCGGTTCCGGATGAGAATCTAGGGGAGGGAGGTGCAGCAGGGGGAGTCATGGCAGACACAGGGGAACCAGGAGCACCTCTAAGCCCTCTGACGACCCAATCCCCACATCTCCTGGATTCAATGAGATTCAGGGAGAAACTGACCACCCATATATCCCCATTTTACAAAAAAAAAGCTCTGGAAGGCAGAACCGGGGCTCCAACCCAGATCAGTTCGATGCCCGTCCCAGCTCTGATGTCCAAAGAGGCAGGCCCATCTCACCTGGAAGACGCCCTGGGCATCGGCAGTGACAGCCGTGTGCAGGGGGGTGCGCCCCGAGTGGTCTTGGGCATTGGTATCTGCTCCAGCATCCAGCAGCCGCTTGGCAGCATCAGCCCGGGCATAACGGGCGGCCAGGTGCAAGGCCGTCTCACCCGTGCGGTCAGTCCGCGCCCCAAGCTGGGCCCCCTGGCAAATCAGGTCTGAGATGATGCTGGCTGATGTGTCTTCTGCCTCGTCCTCCTCAGCTGGCATGGGCTCCAAGGCCCCCCCGCAGAATGCAGGGAACAGGAACATATCATGGGAAGGTGGATACAGGGGCCTTTCCAGGGAATCCTGCTGAGGGCACTGCATTAGGAGGAAGTGCGACAAACGGAGGTACATCTGCATGCACACACACACACACAGAAGTGCATCTGCATGCTCACACACACACACACACATCTGTGTCAGGGGCCCCAGAAGCCAACCCAGGATGAAGATTCATAGGCATGTGATTTGCCCCAGAAGGGCTCTGAGGCAGAAAAGGACAAAGGACAAGGGAGGGAGGAAGACAAACACATGCCCCTCAGACAAATTCCCAGTGGGCTATTTCATCCTGATCCCAAAGGGAAGGCTGGAGGCTGAGTGATACCTGCAGTTATACTCCAGCTCGAGGCAAAGGAGCTGTGCCTTCCAAATGCCCACACCCACCAGCTATGAGCACCCCCAGGGACATGAAATCCCTTAGGGACTTCAAAAGATGCAGGCCTTTTGGAGCAAAACAGAGCTAGGGGGAGAATACCCTGAAATATGGCAAAGATGAATCCAGCAGGATCCAGATAACATGGTCAGCAGCACTCCGTGAGCATTTGGCCTGGTTTCCTTAGGGAGACACTTGCACCCCATTCTCCATCCTCAAGCTCGGGTTAGAGCCAAACCCCCTCCCCCAGGGACAGGCATAGGGCCCAGGCTTGGTCAGTCTGCATATTCCAGGCCCCAGACCACACTGATTAGTTCAGGGATGAGCATGTGACCCAGGTCCGTCCAATCAGAACTCATTCTGGGACTTTTTCTGGTGTAGATGGGAAAAAAGGTTTTATAAGGCTGGTCCTGCCTGTGGCCATAGCGTCCCCAGGAAAAAGCCTGCCTGGGCCAGAGCCAAGGGGTGGTGAGTCCCGGATCCAAATGCACCTGATGCTTCAGTTACAAGAGCCAGTACATCCCCTGTTTTACTTAAACTTGTATGAACTGGGCTATTATCACTTACAACCAAGAGTCCCGAGTAACAACCAGCCGCATAGACAAACACCCAGACATACCTCGCTCTCCCCAGAGCACAGACGCAGACTCAAACTCTCACAAGTAGGAGCGGGGAGCGGGAGGTGCCTCACTGACCTGGGCCACGCACGTTGACATCCATGCCATCAGCATCTGCCTCCCCCTGCGGCGGCGTCAAGGCCATGGCTGGTGCCACGCGGATGTCAGCAGCAACCAGGTGGTGTTGAGTCCACTGGCGGCAATCCACAGCGTCCTCAGCCCCCACGCCAGGCTCCTCTACCTGGAGGCACAAGGATCCAGGTTCTCACAAGGAGTTGGGGGAGACAGAGGGACAGTCTGGGTTTCTCTCATGGAGAAGCACACACAGCCCCCCTAAAACCCCGAGTGTTTTCTAGATAAGGAAACAGGAAATTGACATATAGGAGGTCAGAAAACTCGTTAGAGGAAAAACTGGAATTTTAATCCAAATGGGAAAGGGGGAAGGGCTTGGAACCCAAGGTGGGTGATCAAGGAAGAGACACAGCATCGTAACTGTCAGCACACACCTGTCTATATACTAGACTAGCGGTTCTCAACCTGTGGGTTGCGACCCCTTTGGGGGTCGAACGACCCTTTCACAGGGGTCGCCTAAGACCATCGGAAAACACATATATAATTATGTATTGTTTTGTGATTAATCACTATGCTTTCATTATGTTCAATTTGTAACAATGAAATTGGGGGTCACCACAACATGAGGAACTGTATTAAAGGGTCGCGGCATTAGGAAGGTTGAGAACCACTGCACTAGACACAAACACACCAAAAACAAGATTAAGTTGACAATTCTACTGACAACAGCATCCAGAAGAATAAAATATTTAGAATTATATTTCCCAGGGAAAAAAATGCAAAACTTGTATTCTGGAAACTAAAAATCATTGGAAAAGAAATGTGGGGCAAGGGAATCCTTCAAGGATCAGGATTAATCTGAGAACGTGAATATGATCATGAGGTACAGGGACCGAATAGTCACTCACGAATGTATCGATGCACCTTCATGAGCAAAGCAACTGGGCCCCTCGCAGGAGCTCGATAAATTTCAGACCCACGTCCAAAAGGCATGAGTGATGTTATGGAAACAGGACAGAATATTCTCAACCAGTCTGCCAGCTCACGTAAGAGCCTTTGGGCACCAAACACAGAGCCTGATCGAGCTAGACCTGAGCTTAAGGATCCAGGTGACAGCCTCTGAGTTCTCCCACTGACCTTCGGGGCCCCACCCAAGACCCTGAAAACAGGGTTCAGAAGAGGGGGTAACAACCTTCAGTCGCTTGGCCTCTGGGCACTCTGTGTCCATCCAGTCTGCTGCCACCTCCCCCATCAGACTCTCCCCCTTGGCCATATTCCTGTGGAGACAATGGATAGGGGGGAGGGTAGAGGGGACAACTGAGACATGTGACCTGGAAGATTAGGGGTGGGGTCACAGCAGAGGTCCCAGAAGCGAGGTCAGGGTCTGGAGTTGGGATAGGTCAGTAGGCACAGGGGGCAGGGTCGAGATACAGGGTCCAATGAGGCAAGGTCACAGGGAGTGCAGTCAGAAGTTATGATGAGTGACAGCCAGGGTCTAAAGGTGGAACTGTGGTGAGACAGGAGTGGGGTCAGGGGTCAGAGTAGTGAGCTGTGGGATAGGGAGGGTCATGGCCATACATCCGGGGTTAGAGAGGAGGATGTCGTAACAGAATAGAGGTAACTTCGTAACAGGTAAGAGGTAAGAGACATAGCCAAGATAAGGAGGTTGTGGAGAGGGGTCAGGGTAAGGAGGTTGTGGAGAGGGGTCAGGGAGTCAGGAGGTCACAGGAGAGGGGTAAATTCGGGGGTTAGGCCAGGGTGGGGTTTGGGTCTTGAGGGACAGATCAGGGAGTTGGAGGTGGAGCCTAGGATCAAGGCCAGGACTGAGGGTGGTGGGGAATGGACATTGAGTTGGGATGGAAAGGGGATCAGAGAGGAAGTCAAAGGTCATAGTTGGTTAGAGACAGAGGTGATATTGGGGGTCACAGAGGAAAGGCTCAGGGGTCAGGAAGGGGTTGGGGTACCCGACAGGGCTCATGGAGCCAGCAGTCATGTAGGAATGAATGCTGAGTATTAAGCATGAAATCTGAGAGGCGAGGGCTGGGGTCGAATCCAGGTGGGGTCAGGATAGAATTTGAGTTAAAGGAAGTGGGACACAGGAAATGGAATCAGGGGTCACGAATCAGGGGTGATCCCCAAGGGATCATAGAGTCAGTGGTCGAGGGGATAGATACTGGGGTCCAGGCTGAAGTCTGAAGTTAGGGTCCAGTTGGGGTCAGAGTCAGGTCAAGGTGGACTCAAGGGCTCACAAGGGCTCCTAAAGTCAGGGACAGGGAAAGGGCAGGGTCCTCACTTCATGCCCAGCGCATCTTGGCCCACAGGCTCCCTCCGGCCCTTGTGGCCAGCGGCCACGTCCTTGTGCAGCGCAAAGCCCTCGGGGAA